CAAAACAAAAGAATTAAGTAGAATGGTGAAATTACGCCTTAATTACTCCCGGAATTGGATTCTAGCCTCTTTGGTCGACTTCTAGGGTTCTTCTGGCTTCTTATTCGCAGCTAAACACTTCTGAAACTTCCCAGAATTCTCTCCCTCTCGCATTGTAGAGTTATCTTTATATATGCATCCCGACTCGCCGAGTCATATGGTGACTCGTCGAGTCCCTCTCACATTAGTCGTAACCTGATAACTATCTTGACTTCCGAATGCTTATCTTTCTGAATCCGCGACCAGACTTGTCGAGTCAAGAGGCAACTCGACGAGTAGAAGCCTTTTATGGGTGTTTTCTTTCTTCTTTCCACTCTTGAGCTCCTAACCGCTTCTCTTGCTTCCTTTCGCTTCCGAGCTTCATCTTTGGACTGAAAAACATAATTTAACACTTTTAAGTACCTTTTGTCCATATCATGCAACAATTTAGCTAATATATGAATAATAAACTACACTTAATACACACTAAATATGCACATATCATACGTCGAGCGGTGCTTGACCTGCAGGAAGGTCAAGGCCGAACATTAGAGATCGCATGGGAAGATCCAGCCGTTGGACATCCCGTTGTGGAAATGGGAAGATATCACGATGGATTTTATCACAAAGCTTCCCAGGACCGCGCGTGGAGTAGATTCGATTTGGGTCATCGTGGATCCATTGACCAAGAGTGCTCACTTTATCCCGATTCAGGAGAGTGTGTCGGCCGAGAAATTGGCCGACATCTATATCAGAGAGATCGTGGCGCGACACAGGGTGCCAATATCGGTTATCTCGGACAGGGATGTGCGTTTTACTTCCAGGTTTTGGAAGGGATTTCATGACGAGTTGGGCACTCGTTTGCATTTTAGCACAACTTTTAACCCGCACACGGATGGTCAGAGCGAGCGGACCATCCAGACCTTGGAGGATATGTTGCGGGCGTGCGTGTTAGATTTTGGTGGTAGCTGGGATACCTATCTTCCCTTGGCCGAGTTCTCATACAACAACAACTACCACGCGAGTATTGACCGTCCCTTATTTGAGATGTTGTACGGTCGGAGGTGCAGGACCCCGATATGCTGGGGAGAGGTTGGCCAGAGAATCATGGGGAGCACCGAGGTGGTGCTCAAGACGACCGAGAGGATCCAGCAGGTTCAGAGCAGGCTTCAGACTGCTCAGAGTCGGCAGAAAAGTTACGCCGACAAGCGTCGATCCGACCTGGAGTTCCAGGTTGAGGATATGGTTCTTCTAAAGGTGTCGCTTTGGAAGGGCGTTATTCGATTCAGGAAGCGGGGCAAGTTGGACCCGAGGTTTATTGGGCCATTCAGGGTTGTAACCCGGGTGGGCAAGGTGGCGTATAGGCTGGATCTGCCAGTCGAGCTTAGCCAGATCCACAACACTTTCCATGTTTCTCAGCTGCGGAAGTGCCTAGTGGACGATTCAGCAGTAGTGTCATTAGAAGATATTCAGGTTGATGGCAGCCTGAATTATATTGAGCGCCCAGTTGCAATCCTCGACAGGAAGTCGTAGGATTTGAGGAACAAAAGGGTGGAGCTAGTGAAGGTGCAATGGCAGCACCGCAAGGGTTCGGAGTGGACTTGGGAGCCAGTGAAAGAAATGATGGAGCATTACCCCGAGCTGTTCCAGGATCGAGCAGCAGACTTCGAGGACAAAGTCTAAAATAAGTGGGGGAGATTTGTAGCACCTGGTTCCTGGTACGTAAATCTTATTTGAGTATTTTCCATTTTTAGCCTTGGACTCGGTGAGTCATAGGTCCGACTCGCCGAGTAGAGACGGGACCCGGGACACGTTTAAGTTGGCGACTCGGCAAGTCACCGCAGTTGGATGGAATCCTAAGTTTCAGGGGTTTGAACCCTATTTAATTACTCTTTCCGCCCCAAGCCAGCCCCCATTCACCCTCAGATCCCTACACCTCATTCTAAGCCTCGATTTTGTGGATTTGAAGCCATTTGGTGAGTGCATGGTAACGACTCGGCGAGTCATTCATCTGACTCGGCGAGTCTGCTCGCGAGTCTCCGAGTTTGTCCCCTTTTCATTGTGTCGAGTAGAGTAGCAGGTCACAGGGTGTGACTCAGTGAGTTGGAAGCCGAACTCATCCATAAAGGGACTCGGCGAGTCATTGCCCTGACTCGGCGAGTTCAAGGCAATCTCCTTAGATCAAGATCAGACTCCGCGAGTTGATCATACAACTCGGCGAGTCGCAGCATAAGTGTTCATCGGATGAAGATGAACTCGCTAATTTGTTCATACAACTCGGCGAGTAGGATGAAGGACTTGAACATCAGTTTGGATGGAGAACTCGTCGAGTCAACGCCTAACTTGACGAGTAGAAACAGAATCCAGGTCAGTCGTTTGGACATGGACTTGACGAGTTGGAGAGCCAACTCGGCGAGTCGGGCAACTAGAAGTTGCTCTGACTTTGACTTAAGGCATGATCAGGGGTAAAAGGGTCATTTTACCCAAAGGACAGTTAGTAGTGATTGATTGAGTATGTTGTGGGAATTACAGCCGGAGGATTTCTGGAGCAGCAGCAGCAGCAGACAGTCGCTTCCCACACAGACCAGCAGCTATTTCGAGGTGAGTTTCCTTTCCAGTAGGAACGGGTCTAAGGCACCAAGGCCGACCCGTGTAGATGAGATGTTAGTACTATAGTGTGGGCCGAGCCCATATCTCTTGGATTAGTCGAGTATAATATGTGACGGTATGATAGAGTTGTCTGTACTTGTTGTCTGTGTGATAGTTGTATAATATGAGTTGGCGGTTGAGTGTGGACAAGGCCCGTATCTCTCCGAGAGTGGAGTGTGGGCTAGGCCCGTATCTCCCAGATAGTGAAGTGTGGGCAGGGCCCGTATCTTCACGAGTGTGGGCGAGGCCTGTATCTCCCAGATAGCGAAGTGTGGGCAGGGCCCGTATCTTCCCGAGTGTGGGCGAGGCCCGTAACTCCTAGTTGAATGTTGTTTGTTATATGCTTGTATGGTATGAGGTATTATGGGGAACTCACTAAGCTTTGTGCTTACGGTTTACAGTTTTGGTTTCAGGTACCACTTCAGCTAGGGGAAAGGAGCCGGCGCGGTAGCAGCATATCACACATACGCTTTTGTTTTTCCGCCCTATAGATTTTCTGGGATGTACTCTGAATTCTCATTATGATGTCACCGGTTTCCAGACATGGATTATTATCATGAATGTTTTGTAATGATGTTTTACGTTTTAACCTAAATTAAAAATAAAATTTTTAACCGGTAATTTTAGGGTGTTACATGCTCACATTGTCAAACTTTCCTAACACATGGAAAAATCTACCCATGAGCCAAACCTATGACATAAAAAAAGATAAAAAAAAAAAAAACAAATTTGTTTATTTTTGGAAGTGAGCAGATGATTAACCTGCATATCATCAAAGTAAATTGAGTGGATAAATTATTTGAATTTTAAAGGCTCAAAATACCATGTTACATAAATATGGAAACTTACTGCAGAAGCATTAGAGCAACCAATTTCTGAAAGTTGGAAGCACATGTCCATTTCATCAAACAGTCCATCAACTTCCATATTGGTTTCTGATTTTGATCCTGCAGCTTCATATCTTCTTTTTCTTCAAGTTTGAACTTATATGGCACTACTTGCTCAATAGATGTATCTTGTACAAGACTATCTTTTACCGGACTATCTTCTATAGGAGTTATATTGTTTAAGCAATTTATCTCCATCTTCACCTTGCTTTATTGTTTCTGTGAGAATCTCGATTACATCAATTACATTTCACCGACTATAGTAGACTATATTTGGGTTCATGCATGGTTAACCCAACTTGTGTTTTAGCAAGTTAACTGAATACATTGCTTCAATATTTTTTTAACATAAATTCGATTTCGTTAACGGATTAATTAATTTCTAATAAATTAAGTTATGAGGGAAACAACAAAAATATTTATTTTATAAACAACTAACAAAAATAAATAACCTTCAACAATATTTGGATACTAAGAAAAAATCCCTAAATTTAAAAATATAATCAAAATTAATATCTCCAAATATTCGTTTTCTTAGTTAACCATTTATCACTAAAATTATATACCATTAAACTAAACCTAAACAGAACAAAATAGACATTTTGATTCTTTAATAAAATTACTATTCTCTTTTTTTCCTTAATTTATTTACTTGCAATGTAAAACATATTACTCATCATTATACTCATATTCCTCCCTATTCACATGCTCTTTTTAACAAAAGTTAAACAAAGATTCATCGCTTTAACGTGTACTTACGTTTGACTTGGTGATCTTGATAACGGGTCAACCTGTGGACCATAATCTCATAAGAAAAGTCATTTCACCATTTTATTTTCTTTTTCATTCACTTATTGTTTCATAACAAAAAAAAATGCGGAGATTAAAGATAATATAAGGAGACAATGATATGTATTTCTATTCCACCAACAACTTTATCAGGAGGCAAACATGGGAGTTTGACCCGAAACATGGAACCTCAGATGACCGAGCCATGGACGTGTAGGTTGAATTGTCATTCTTTTCGTGGTTTGGACATGTCACAATTAATAACAAATAAAAAAAATCATAAGTAAGACATATATACCGACTTAAAAATGGTAACTTATTATAATCAACTGCACCAATTTCAGCCTAATAAACAGGACTGATGGTCAGATCTGGAGCTTTAACCTTACATATCTGAAAAAATTACCAAACAATACATGAATATGTGAAAACTTTTGAAGGAGGCAAGTTAACTATGGGGAACTAACCTGATTATCAAATATTTAGCATCATTTGTCACATAGATCAACATGAACAACATGATCATAAAAATAGCAAAAAAGTACTCATTAAACAAATAGTGAGCCCCAAATTAAGCTTACCTTAATAATAGTTTGAAAAAAAAAACATTAATGAAGCATTTTATCGAGCAGTTGGCGTGCATCATGCAAGTTTCTTTCAAATCTGAAAATTAAGACGAAAAAAAGGGTTGTTGGCCTGATTGTTTGCGTTGTTGGTGTTTATCACTTCTTCGCAGAACCTAGGTGTCACTTACCCATGTGCACCAAATGTCTCCAGCAAGACAACTGCAAAAGATTTGTAAACAGGATTGACATAAATAAAGGCACCCAATTAAGGGAAAAACATAATTAGGGTGACTATACAAACTGACATGTGTGCTTAAATAATGGAAGTCTGTAAATTCGATAAACAGCAAAACAACCCGACAATCAAATTTGGTGAAGAAACAAAAGCATAATCAATTGACAGAAAAAACAACAACAAAAGCAGTTACTTTTTATACCAATATGATAATATATGACTTCTCTTTGAGAGTCTTCTTCAAACAACCTCATCCTTCGGGTTCAGAAAAACAACAGAAAAGGATAAACATGTAAATTATGCAAAGCTTCAGCTAGCTAGTTAATAGTAAGCTCTAGAAACTTGGCATCACTTCCAATGGGAAGAAATAAATCCAAATGAAATGAAAAATAAAATCGAAACCATATGCAAATTAACCGTACCTTTCTTCAAGTCCAAAATTAAACCCTAAGTCGATCTCTTTTGATATACAGAGGTAAACAATGATGTATTCATAAAATTGGGAAGAGTAAGCGATGAGAGGTAGCAATGCTATCGCAGGATAACGACGGTGATTCGAAATCGACCTCGTTGAGTCGACGGTTAGAGAAAGACATAAGGAGATGATTAAAAGCAGCGGTGATATTCAGCGGAAGAAAAGGATTGGCGGAGGGAACGGTGGGAGAGCAGAAGCAAACGCGTGTGAAGATGGAAACGGTAAAAAATAATTAACAGAATGTTTTGTTCATAAGAACATTGAGATTTAATTATATACTTAATTACAGGGAAAGAGTTCTTTTGTCCATATAAAAAACTGAATTACCCTTTTATTTTTTATTTCTTTACTAATTTATAACTTCTAAAAATATAAAGTAACTTATGGGCCCACCACCCTAACTTGTATCTCTCACACACAAATATATACATACACATGCACATGCTCTCTGGAAAGACCAAAAATAAAAACATGTTGTAGACATTGACCACATTTTAATCTTCTCATCTCCTTTTTTTTTTTTTTTTTTTTTTTTTTTTTTTTTTTTTTTTTTTTTTTAGGTTTAGAACTCTTAAAGAAATTTAGCCCCTTAAAAGCCTTCAAAAAAAAAAACGGTTCATGCACCTCCAAAATCAGCCCCATGCATTCTTTTATACAAAATTTACACTTTTATCCTTCTACATTCCCATAATGACACTTCCTACCCAAAATCTAAAAGCTTAGCACTTAAGACTGTTTTCATCAATATAACTCATTATTACAATGTTTATTGTTGTTGTTATTATATTATCATTATTATTATTTAGCTTGTATTTATACTTATTTTCCATTATTGATTAATTAAACGAAAAAACGAAGTGTTACAGTCGATCACCCAAATCGAGACCGACTTGAAATCGGTTGTGAAACAAGCCCATTGGAGGAAGCAACAAACATTCGGAGTGTAATACATATGACTCAAGCCTATGATTACCCAAACCGATATCCTAACCCACAACCGATGAAGAGTTCCAGCACATTCGATGCTAAGTTCCGGGTAAGGGAAACACTGTTCATAAGGTGAATTTATATATATATATATATATATATATATATATATATATATATATATATATATATTTATATAATGTTGCAAACCTTATAGCCTTTTTGTTGTAATTATATATAATAAAATGTTAGCTCAAAAAATTTATTTATTTTATAACTATTATCTTGTTTTTAATTATTAAATGAAAAAAAACACCGTATTTATAATATATAGCTTCTTCATTATAAAACTTCTTTTTTATAAACTAGAAGGAAAGTGCATGGGATTTTATACGATCACTTCATTTATGATAAATAGGATTATAGACGTTGAGTTAACTGAAAACCTCCCACTCCAATGGCAGACCAGACTCCAGAACAAGGTGATGATGAAAGAAAGGAGATGATGGGTAGGAAGGATATTGGTGATATTCTAACAGGCATCGGATACAATCCAGAAGACCCGTTAAGCAAGACAACGAAATTTGGACTAAGATCAAGCAACTGGAAGAGAGAAAGAAGCAAGAAGTTTCCAGCCAGATGGCGAAGAAAGAAATCAAGAAAGTTGATCAACTGATCAACTAGAATCCCCATACAGAAGAGGCAAAAGTACTTCCGCAGATCGTTCAGGAGTTTATGGATCATATCAAAGGTGAATTGAAGAGTGTCAGTTGTTTTTTGAAAAAACACTGTCAAAAAGTGATGTAGAAATATCGAAGGGTTACCTCTACATGCCGTATGGTAAAATCAAGAATGCAGAAATCTTGGATAAGTTTCTGAAGAAAAAGGATCTTCAACTGTTTTGTTCACAGGAAGAAGAAGCTTACCGTGTGGTTTTTTCAATTCGCAATAAGCATAGGGAAAGGAATCCGAGCTATTCACTAATAACTTCGTGGAAAAATGTCCTTCAAGATTAATATAATCTTCGTCAAAAGATGGTTATTCAACTATGGGCATTTCAAAACCAAGAACACGAGGAATGCCTGCCTTCTCTGTTGAACACGACTCTTTGTATGGGAAACAACAAGACTTTTATTAAGATGCTTAAGAAGATCTTACACTTTGTGAGACTACTACAAACTTTTCTTACTTGGAGGCTTTTCTTGGATACTTAGATGTTGGATTGATCTGGAGCAAATGAGCTCCACACCTATTTATAGGTGTTTCCACCTCCTTATAGGAAGTTTCTAGATCTACATACATTCATGACTATTCTGGAACTATCTACCATATTCTATATCAATTACAAGCTTTTATCTGTTTCTAGAATATTCTATAATGTCCTAGATAAGTATAGACATTCTTGTGCCTTCCATCGTGTTCTAGAATGTTCCATAGCCTTCCAGGGTCTTCCATCTCATTCTAGAGTATTCTAGAATCTTCTAGCATCTTCTAGACTTCTCCATAGAATTCCATAATGTTCTAGAATCTTCCAGATCATTCTAGAACATGCTAACTTGTTCTAGACAATAACATGATTCTACCAGGCTAGTGATGACCTTCAACACTCCCCCTCAGCACTAGCCCCCATTCTTCGTATCATGTTGAGCTGACATCTAAAACCTTCACTTTTTCCTTTACTCAGTCCTTTGGTGAATAATTCCGCTATTTGTTTATCAATCTTGATCTATCACATATTGACTTCTTCCTTGAGAACTTTTTCTCTTCCACATGCTTGGTTTTTTTCTTAGTTGTTGTAGTCGTTGCTTCGTATATTGTTTTCGTTGTTGACAACGACATTCGTGGTTGCATTTTCTTGCAGCATAATATTGTTCCTGACTTTGTTGAACTGTCTTGTGTAGTTTCTTATGCCTCCCTTTGAGAAACTTGTAAGCATGTGAGTTGTCCCTTTTACAAGCTTTGGAAAATTCCCACAATATTAACATGTTATGACGTGATCCCTTATTGATCTGCTCATCTCGTTTAGATGTTGCTCTGTTGAGAAATTCTACTTTGCTCTTACGGATTAATGTGTTTTTCTTCTTTTTCGCCTTATCCAGTTTCTCCATCACATGTTCCATTTTTCGTCTAAGATGAGACTTTTTATGCAACTCTGGTGACGTCATGTTCTTATTCTCCTTTGGAATGTCCATCTTCAAGGGAATAACTTCCTCCTTCAAGGTTGTCATAAACTCTATCTCACTCTTCTTGAGACCTTTGTCGAGTTGCATAGTTGATAGCATGCGGGATCCAATCATATTTCTCTTCAAGGGTACAATGTGAATTATTGAACCCTTGGTGATACGCATGGTATCGTCTCTCTCAAATGACCAGGGTCGTACATTTTCTAAAAAATCCATTCCGAATACCATACGATAGTCATCCATATGCACCACTATCAAGTCTATGGTGCCTTCCCATTCTGCTATCTTAAGAGGTACTCCATATGCAACACCAATGATAGGCTTGGATAAAGAGTTGACGACTTTCAAACGGCCTGGCATTTTGGTGTATTTGATGCCCAACTTCTTAGCTTCATCTTCAGCAAGGAAATTATGGGATGCACCTGTATCTACCAATGCCTTGGTGTATCCTCCATTTACCCTAGCATCCACGAACATTAGCCTTCCTCTTTTAGTCTTATTCTCTTCTATAGCACATAGTGCCTCAGCATCCCATTCATCATCTACTTCCTTTTTGGAAGTTACTACATTGCTTTCCACAGACGTTTTCTTTGACCAACAATCCTTGGACATGTGGCCCCACTTTCCACAATTGTTGCAGTTGCCTTCGAACCTCCTCCCCCGAGAACACTTATTGTCGGTCTTTTGAGATCTCCATGGTTGTGAGGTTCCTTGTTGACTCTTCCCTTTGTCAGCATTTTAGTATCCTTCTTTAGAAGGTGGCTTGAAATTCCTTCGACTTTTACTTGTGTAAAGTGCTTCTTCTTCACTTTTCAGCGTGATGCCTCCCATTTGCTTAGCCATAGCTTCTTGGCTGGACAACAAATTCTCAAACTCTACAAGTGATGGTTGAGCGGGCCATCCTTGTATAGCAGTAACAAAGCTTCTATATTCCGGCCTCATTCCATGGATAATGATCCTCTTCATTCGAGCTTCTGCAATGACGGATTGCGGATCTAGTTCAGTAATCTTCCGACATATCGACTTGACCTTGTGTAAATATTGAGCAATCGTCATGTCACGTTGTGAGATTGATAATAGCTCGTTCTCCAAAAGTTGTAGTCTCGTATCATTCTTCTTTGAGAAAAGCGTCACAAACGTGTCCCAAGCTTCTTTCGGGGTGTTCTAATCCTGAATATGCTCCAACATCTCTTCTTCGATTGTGGTCTTCAAGGCAAACATTGCTTTGCCTGCTTTGATTTTCCATTTGCGCAAAGCACCATTAACGTCTTCCTCTGGTGGCGTAGTTTCGCTTCCACCAACGACCTCCCACAGATCTTGTCCTTGTAAGTAGGACTTCATACATGTTTCACACGTTTTGTAGTTGTTGTTGTTGAGTTTCTTGATTCCTCCGAAGACTTGGAGATCACCCATCGTGTTGGCAGTACCTCGGTAATACCAAACAAGCTAGTTTCGACACTAAACTTGCAGAGTCACAAACTACTCACGATACAACGAGAATCACTTGTTCTCACTATCAAGAAACCTCGCTCTGATACCATATTGTTGAACATGACTCTTTTATATGGGAAACAACAAGACTTTTATTAAGACACTTAAGAAGATCTTACACTTTGTGAGACTACTACACACTTTTCTTACTTGGAGGCTTTTCTTGGATACTTAGATGTTGGATTGATTTGGAGCAAATGAGCTCCACACCTATTTATAGGTGTTTCCACCTCCTTATAGGAAGTTTCTAGATCTACATACATTCATGACTATTCTGGAACTATCTACCATATTCTATATCAATTACAAGCTTTTATATGTTTCTAGAATATTCTATAATGTCCTAGATACGTATAGACATTCTTGTGCCTTCCATCGTGTTCTAGAATGTTCCATAGCCTTCCAGGGTCTTCCATCTCATTCTAGAGTATTCTAGAATCTTCTAGCATCTTCTAGACTTCTCCATAGAATTCCATAATGTTCTAGAATCTTCCAGATCATTCTAGAACATGCTAACTTGTTCTAGACAATAACATGATTCTATCAAGCTAGTGATGACCTTCAACATTCTCCTGCTCCACAAATCAGACCGTGATAAGATGATTTACTGCAACCCTAAACATCAACGTGCAGCTGCAAAATGTGTTGAGGAGACATCAAATTCAAAAACAAGTAAAGGAAAGGAGAAAATTCTTTGAAGAAGCAGGCTATAGATCTCAGTTTCGGTGTTTCGTTTTAACTTGTTTTTAGTTAAAACAATGAGAGAATAGTTTGAACGTATTATATTCTACATTCTTGTATCATATCAATTCTTTCGATTGATTTCAAAATTTTGGTTTTATGTTTGTTTTGATCATCGATTATGTGTTGATAGTGTATATTAGTTAGTTAAAAAAAACAATGGATGGTTATATGGGTTTTACTGATGTTCATGAGTCTAGAAAAATAGAAATAAATACAGAAATATTAGATGAAGAAATATAGATGTAAAATATTCTTTATTATGGTTTGAGTGGTTTTGCTGATCTCCAATACCAGAGGTTTCAAACGCACATCGATTTTCAAGCGGCTTTCTGTTCACCGCCGTCTTTTATCGATTTTTCTTCAGCGGCCATCCCCATTCTATTCTATTGTACAACAGAAATCCTAATCGTTATTATGTATCAATTTTGAGAGTAACCACCACCGATTTTGGGTCGGTTCGACTGTGTTTGCTCTGGGTTTCGTCTATGACTCGTCGTTTTTGCATGGGGATTGATCGGCTCGGCCTAAAAATTATCGGCTTACCGTCGTTCCCTCAATCGTGCACCGCATTCCCTCAATCACTTTGGCTCAAAACCATCCGACTACTGACATGAAGAATCGATAGAGGAGGAAGCGATGAAGCAGGAGGTGGCGAAAACCGACGGTGGAAACCGGTTGTTGGTTGCAGTCTTCTTCCGATTTACAGACGAATTGGAAGTGAGATCGATGGGATTTTGGTAGCATCGGAGGTGAAATCCCTATCTTCTTAACGAAGCTTTGGATCCTTGGGTAAGTGCCCTATGTTACCTTATGTATATATTCATGTAATTGTCTTTTTTTACTTAAATCTATGTTGTTGATGTTCAATTCCCTCCTACTTAACAAATCAGAAAATTGACCAGGTAACACATTCGTAATACATTTTGTACCTTTTGCCTCCTCAAGTATGTTGTTTTCTGGTTCTTTTGAGTAATACAAATCTTGATTTCTAAATTCTCCCTTTGCGATGTAACATACAGGTGTTGAGGTATGTGTATATTTGTGTATGCAGAAAATCGGTTTTTTTGTTATGTGGGATGACGATTCTCAGGCAAAAGTCGAGTTTTTGATGCCCTTAGTTTTGGCCTTCAGCTAGAAATTCAACATTAATATGCATCCTTATGTATATGAGCATTGTGGTAAATCAAATAACTAGTTTTGTCCTTTTGTTTTTCTTGTGCTTTTAAATGTCATCAACGTAAACAAACAACTGAAAATTTGATCATTGAAACAGATTGAAGTTTTTATAAATTTGATCATTGAAAGAGATTGTAGTTTTTTAGCCTTGATATGCATCCTTATGGATATGAGCATAAAAGGAATTGAATTAATTAATTTCTTGATGTCACTGGTAGGTACTTGACTGGAGAAGAAAAGAAAAAAAAAAGTTAAGACCTGTCAAGAACATAACATGCCCATATGTTGAACAGTAATGATGCTTACATTCCTACACCTGGCCACCAAAGAACAAGGCACCAAGTGTAAGTTTTTATAAATAACCTATTTTTTCTATGTAATTTTTAGGTTTAAATGAAACACATGTTTTTTTCATTGTTATGTTAGGTAATCTTTTCCAAATTTATATTTCAATTTCGTTTAAAGGAGTTAATAAAAATATAAAAGGATGATCAGGTGTAATAAGATAAGAAAAGGGAAAAAAAAAGTTTTTTTATGGTGAAAATTAAAAATGGGATTGAAGAATTATAGAGATTGGATACTCTGGTGTAAATATAAGATTAAAGCTCAAAATTATCTTTTTTTTTTTAGGATATGTCGATTTTAGCAGGTTTGTTCTCATTACCTGAAAGAATCGTGCCTATGGTTGCCACAAGAATAGAAAGAATTTCTCTGATCTTCTCAAGGATAGGTGCCTTTTTTTTACTTTCTTCAAGTATCTTCCAACACTTACTCCCAACACCTTACAACTAAATTGGAGCATTTTTTTTTACTTTCTTCAAGCCAAAATCGTTTAATATAAAGGGAAATCTTCGGAAAAGTCCTAATATTTCACCCTAATATACGAAAAAGTCCCAAATTAAAATTGGTTTATGAAACAGTCCTGGTTACCGGAAAAATGATGATTTGACCCTTTTTTTCCGGTTTATCGGTTTCAATACGTACCCGGTTTCATTAAAGTCCCATTATTTTACCATAATTTTCATTAAAGTCCCATTATTTTACCATAATTTGGGACTTATTCGTAAATTATGGTAAAATAATGGGACTTTATTAAAACCGGGTAAATAATGAAACCGGTAAACCAGGAAAATAGGGCCAAGCCGTCGTTTTTACCGGTAATTGGTACTTTTTCGTAAACAAATTTTAGTATCAGACTTTTTCGTAAACTAGGGTAAAATATTGAGACTTTTTCAGAGATTTCCCTAATACAAATACATAATATTGATTAACTACAACTATAACTTAGATTATTATTATTATTAGTGTGTGTATATACAGACAAAATTGCAAGAATGGTCTCTGTGGTATGTCAAAACTAGCAACTTTGGTTCAAAGTGGGTTTGGCTCGCAAGGTAGGTCCATTAGTTTCGTTTTGTTGCGAGTTTAGTCCAAAAATTCCAAATTTTTTTTTTATAATGACGGATTTGTCCTTGGTATTTTTCATTTTTCAATTTTTTTATTACAGAAATCAAAAAAAGAAAAAGAAAAATCTCTCTCTCTCTCTCTAATACAATCTCTTCATCTCATTAGTATCTCATCAGAAAAAAAAATTCCCTCCTCCTTCACTTACGATCAAGAACACCCCACTGCCCTCATAATTTTCGGCTATCACTGCTTATCGACGTCGTTAATCCACACTCTTCTCTATCTCCGAAAAAGGGAAACACCTCCCCTTGTTTTGCAACAACCAACCACCCACCATAGCCGATGTCGCCAAAATCCTTTCCTCGACCTCCCTTTCATCTCCAACTCGTCTATCTCCCTTGTTTCTCACTTCTTCGGCGCAGAGAGCCACCACAGTCGACTGTGGCAGCTCCTCCGCCTCCCCCTGTCGTGACCCACCACCATCCAACATCCCAAATCCAAATCCACAAGGGATGTTCTTCGTTCTTGATTTTGGATCTGAAATAAAACCCAAATCCAAAAGTTGAAGGTAGGTATGTTCTTGGTTCCAAATTTGAAACGTATATGAAGAAGGGTAGATCTGAAACAAAATCCACACACAAAATCCACACACAAAACCT